CTTGAGAGTGCAGTGTGTGCAGTTGGAGGCCTGAGACAATATTTTCTGCTCTACTCACCACAGGGCATACACTATCATCTGATATGGGGGAAAGACACTTTAATAATTATTATTATTATTAAAAGCAAACAATCAACTCCACAGATCAATGGCTCTTTTCTATGTTTCTTAGTCTCTGTTTCCTCTTAGATGCATGGTTATGGCCCACCTGGAAATGCCCCAAAGTGATAGCCAGAAACCTGCTGCCCCCACCCCTTCTGCTGTTCCTGCCATCGTATTTAATTGTGTTTGCTCAACTCGAAGCCAAACTCATATGCATATATTTAGGTGGTTGAAATAGCAGAGCAGTACCCTGTATTCACAGGTTATTTTCAACACCACAATTCTTAAAGATTATTCTGGAAAAAAGTAAGGCAAAGAAAAAAGAAGCAACATAAATTTGTTCCAGTCTCAAAGAAAACAATACCAAAATGGTAATCTGGAGATCCGCCATGAATGAAAGAATAGAGTGTTCCTTTGGTGCACTCTCCTGAAATGCAATCACCATCTCATTTGCTAGTCTGGATTTATTTTGAAGTGGGTGAGACTGAAAGCAAGAAAGGAATAGTAAGAGACTGTGAAAAGTACCTTTATTATTTTGAAAGATCAATGTACAATCATTGCACTTATTCTTATGGGGCATTAAAGGTAAAAGTGTAGAACTGATATGTATGCTGATTTTCTCAACCTCTAAGGAGTCTTTATCTTCTACAATGGCAAACATTCTAAGGTGAAACACATACATCATTAATATATATTCAGGATCTCTTTTCTAAGGTCTAAGTTACAATTTTTTTCAAATGCCTCAAAAATTAACTAATAATTTACAAAGACTGGGTTGATCTCTCTCTCTCTCTCTCTCTCTTTCTCTCTCTCTCTCTCTCTCTCTCTCTGGCAATAGTGTTGTTTGAACACAAGGACTTTCATTTGCTAGATAACTGCTTGACCACTGAAGTCACACACCCATCCCTTTATATTTTAGGTTTTTTTTTCTTTTTTACTGATAGTATCTCATATTTCTGCTCAGACCAGTCTCATACCAAGATTCTCTTATCTCTGCCTCCCAAGTAGCTGGGATTACAGGCATGTACAACCACACCGACCATGGGTTTTGATACCTTTGTCACTAATTTCACCTTAGATTTTTTTACCTCCCATTTTTAGTATCCTTTATCAAATATTTTTATAAGACCCTTTCACTCAAATGACAGAAGACTTATGAATCATAAAGAACAGCCTCTGTTGCTGACAGAGGCTTGAATCGGGTCAACTAATTAAAAGGAAAGACCACCTTCCTGTTCTTCTAATCAGAGCCAAACTTCAAATCACCATTGTGAATATCATCATCATCATCCCTACAGACATATTAAATATAAAGAGTTTAACCAGATTGTCATCCAAATTTTGAAGCTGCAAGGAAGAAATAATTTTTATTTGAGTTTTTCCATAGTATACTTCTTGTATCTACATCTCTATTAATAAAACATCACATTTAAAGAACACCTGCTCTATGCTTATCTTTTGGAAGCTGACTTTCTTTGTAATTCAATAACTGTTACTCAGAGTCTACTATGGACCTGGGGCTGTTCTAGGTATAGAAAGAACAGAATAAGTAAGGCAAGCTAGGTGGTAATCTCATGGAGTTTATATTTTACTGTAGGGGGTAAGACTGAGACAACAAACAGAAATTAAGATTTCAGATTATGATAACTCAGTTAAGAAAACACAGCAGAATAGAATGTAGGGTGATCTGGAGAGTCATTTTAGCTGAGCAATGGGCAATAAGGAAAGATTGCTTTTAGGAGGTAATATTTGCTCCAGATGGAGACAGTCCTGGTCATGTCAATTGCTAAGGGAACTACAAATTCCCAAACCCTAAAGTAGGAAAGAACTTAGCAAATCCAAAGAACACAAAGAAGGCAACCCACTCACAGCATCACAAATTGGAGGGAGGTGTTTTGAGATGAGGCCATTGAGCAGAGGGCATATTCTACCAAGGTTTTAGGCAGCCACTTCAAGATTTGCTGTGCCTTTGGACTCAGCACTGAACAAGCTTGCACAGGTCACTGTTGCCTCAGATGCAAATATTGCTAGCTTTCCAGACTTACTCTTTCATGCATGTGAACTGCTCCTCAAATGTTTGTCTCGTGAGTCTTTTTCCCTCGAATGACTCTCTTGGCCTTTGACCTTCCTCCTCCCTGCTCAGACCTATCGGTCTGCTGCCTGGTCTCCAGCGTGATGCCTGTTTTAATTCTCACTATTGATTTAGGCCTGGAATTTCCGTAAATTTGGTAGTCTTTGTGTCACAACTAATCCTTAGGGGAATTCACTCTTTCCTTACCTGACCAGAACTAGCACTGCTGCTATGTTACTATTTTTCTGAAAATGTATTGTGTTTTCAACTCTCAAAATTACTACTTCAATATACTTTAAGAGTCCTGATTGTGTTAACAATTTCCACAAAGTAGCTATATAGTTATCATTATTTCATTTTAAAGATTCAGAAATGTACGTTCCTGAGAACCCAGATTGAATCCTGTTTTGACACCTCTATTTTGTTTTGGGGTGAGGAAGGTCTGTTTCATTCCAGGCATCTCAATAGTTAAATCCACAGATGGCATGTTTCTTATGCAGAAGTTGAAGCCCAAGCATAAATCTATTTAAGAGGAAAATCAAAAGAACTCTCTTTTCCTGAACTTTTTTATCTTATTTATTTGAGATCATTCTTCTTTGTAACACTGTGATCTCAGACAACATTCACAACCTCATTCATACATGGAGGACACAATGTGGAGATAGATTAGTTCAAATATATTACCAAGAAACGGGGCAAAAAGGAAACAAGCCACTTGGTTTAATTGGTGAGTTTGGGAGAAAGAAACAAACATATTTATCTGAACAGCCCTGGTTTTCTCCTTCCATTTTGCCTAACACCAAAGAAGGTAAGAAGTTATGAGGTACCACCCTTTAGATGTTGATGACATATGTAACTCTCATTCTAAAAGCTGAGTGTTCTGTGGTCTAATTTTAAACATGTATCTTTCAGATAACCATGTTGTCAAAAAGTTTAAAGCACTATTTTTTTTAAAGCCAGGATTTTCAGATAAGTCCAAACAGTGTTTTAGAGAAAATAATAGGAATAATTTCCTTACTGGTTCCATATCAATCAAAACTTATAAGTGACATTCTTAAAATAAATGGGAAAGTGATAGAAGAGATTAAGCATTCTCAGGTGTCTTTCTTCTAAGGGAAGATCAATTAGGTTCATTGTAGCTCATGGTGAGTGGTAGTCTGCAGTAGGATGCTTTTCATACCATTCTTTAAAAATGTAAGGCTCTTATTAAGATGAGAATCTAGCTGTTTCTATTAAAAATTCATGACCCTTTTCCAAGGGAACTGTTTTGACCTGTTATTTCTGGCTAAATTTTCAAGAGTTCTTTTCTCTCACTCACTTCTGAACATATCCCAGGAAAATAGACTTTAATAGCTAGTGACCTAATGGAAGTATAACCTGAAGTTATTAAATAAAAATAACAATATGCAATTCTGGGTAAAACACAAATTCCCTTAGAAGAGAATATTCTACATCACAAATGCAGTAAGTTTTGAAGGATGTGTTGCCCCTAGAGAACCATTTAGTGGATTAGAAGCAGCAGTTCACAGCTAAAGAAAAATTAGTAAAATATAATACAGTTCTACATAAACTCAAAACTTTCCAAATAGCAGGAAAAAATACTTATCTTTCCAAGCTTATTTCAAGACAGACATTTAATATTGTGTACACATTATATAGCTGTAGAGTCGACAGAGTTAGTTCTCTCCTCCATCAACCCTACCTCTCACCTCTCCAAGAAGCTTTTGGTGCAGTATATACAAATGAAGTGCATTCTGGACCACTCCCAGATGGTAAACTGGCTGGGAGGAAGGCTCTGTCCTTCCTAGAGAAGCTTCTGGATTGTTCAACTTGGTGCATAATGTCTGGGTGATCTTAATATGAGGAATATCACTATAATCACACATCTGAGCTACAGCTTTTATTGGTAATAAAGCAACTTTTTTAACCATCTATTTGGAAAATACTTCTGTCTCTCTTAGGATATTTTCTTACATGCACCCAGTTTTTGCAGGGATGATATGACAATTTTACTGTCATTGTCATGATTTTCTATCAGAAAAACGATATATATTTGTAAAATGATATGAAAATCTGTTACAAAGATTGAACAGAAAATAATCCTCAGCGATAAACAAATGAATGACACATGAAAAATAAGAGGAGTCTCCTACAAATTTAAATATATCTTATTTGAAAACCTGATGATTGATAGAGAAAATCAGTTTGAATGCTTATACCTTAAACAGTCTTCACTGAAAACTTTAAAGGTATTTTTTAAAAATATGGTAATTGATCCAAAACAGGAAGAAAATATGTATATTTTGTGCCAAAAAAATTACAAGTGTAGCTTCCTAGGCTGAAATTACGTTCCCATTTTATTATGGTATAGTAGCATATGTGTATGTAAAATAACATGCAACTGACAATGCTAAAATAACGAGGTAAAAATAAAATATTCAATTATGATAATTTTACTCAAATGCTTCCCCTGACTAGTTGATTTGGTCTGGTATTTTGTATGCATTCACTAAATTGCTATAAACAAAGGTAAAATATGATAATGACATCAAGTCAATAACTTTTGGTGTTTACTCTAGTGAACTATTAAATTCGTGATGTCAAAAATATTTAAAATTGAGACTGAAATCAACAATTTCATCCTGGGTACAAAATTTGCAAATGTTCATTATGGAAAACAATGTAGAAGATAAACTCATATAATTTTACCTATCCCTTTTTTTAAGATGAGAAACTAGATAAAGAGAAAAGAGATTTCCCTGCTGATGAAATGTTTTCACTCTTTCTCTCTCTCTCACACATATACACAATCTTTTCCCCTGCCAGATCCCCAAGATCCTCAATCTTATTACCTATTTTCGAGTAGCACACTGAAGGTCATCTTATCCAGGCCCAGATAATTTGGCAGCAAGTTTGACCAGTTCCAGCTCCATTTTGTGATGACTGACTGTTGATGAATGAGAAGACACTATTGTTAGTTATTAATCAGAGTTAATATGATCAGTAAATTAAAGCTCCAGCTGTGATAGACTAACTAAGAAGGAGGGGGGTCTAGAACAAGGACTTAGACAGATAACATCAATCATGTCCATAAAGAAAGGTTTTATTCCAATAAGACAGCAATTAATTTATAAATCCATTTGGGGGATGTAGTCATTATTTATAAAAAGATAAATCAATTTTTTGAGTCGTTATTCTTCTGAGTGTTAATGGCATTTGCCCAACAGGTTTCTTTGGGAGAGTGACTCTTTGAAAAACAATGAGAAATAATTGGCAATTTTTTCATCTGTCATATCACTTTATAGGTTCTTTATTAGCTCCCCAAATTTTTATTTAAAAAAATACTCGAAAGTGCTAAGAATCAAATTAGTCTAATTAAAGTGTGCTATTAATTTTGCCTTTTTGGTGAAGAAAATGCTTTAAAGGGGAGATTTTAAGAACTTTCAAGTGTAAATAACATAAATGATTCTTTTTTCTCATTAATAAATAATTTCACAGCATAGTAAGAAGAAAAATTACTGTGAAAAATAATCTCATAATTCAGAACTCAATAAAGCATGGTATTTATTTAAATGAAGTAAGGATAATTTAACAGCTACAATAATTATTTATGGGTGGAGCAACCTAATATGCAATGCAGGGAAGCAGCCAATAAACTTTAACTTTATAATATATTTGGTTTTAAAGTGTTGTAGGGGCTTCTGCTCCTTAAAACTAAACAGTTTGGATAATAAGAGTTCAGACTGATGTTTAAAATCCAACAAGAACTATCCCTTGTCACCTGCTGATTAATCGAGTGCTACAATCCTGTCATAGAGCAGGAGAATTCTGCCCCGGGTTGTCAGCATTTGAAGGTCTTATTCCACTACAGTATTGATGAATGTAGGTGAGAGCTGTAACAGGCATGGTAAAAATATTATCTGCATGCTGAATTAGGCCATTGTTTTAATTCTTATTTTCATCAGAGCTCTACGTCAAGCAATCCTTCTCTTGTGCCCTGTTGGTTCAAATTGTCTGTCAAAAGGTTTCTAGGAAAAGTCAGCAAAAGAAAAACAATGCAAAAGCAACTTTAGATCTAGAATATTTTGGTGGGAAGATTATCTTTTTTTTAATGTAACTATGAAATACACAGCTGAAACAATAGTATAATCTGACATTTTAAAGTGTATGGTGTTTGTCACATTGACTTTATTCCAAATATCTTGGTCCTAAGGTCATTAGCAAATCATTTTAAACTTAGGGAATGTGTCTAGGGCTATGAACAAGAAATTTATCTTATGTCACTTAAAATAGAAGCTCAATTCCCTATAATTCATTTTAAACTGTTTTCTAAATTTAACTGATACATTCATGTAGACTGCACAGTGTTTTGTGACTGCATATATGGTAGGGGATGAGGGGAGACAAGGGAAGGGAAGGATGTTACAAAATGCCTCATTTTTTTGGCTTTCTCTAGACACAGCCTAACAAGTGTTGCTTCTGCCCATGGCAAACTGACTCAGGCAAAAGTTAAATTTTATAGACCAAACATATGAATCAGCTTGGCAAACAGAAAGGAGATCAAATAACTTTTAAAAGTCACCTTGTGCAGTCCATACAAACAAGAACCAGAACTTTTACTTTCTAGCAAAAAGAAGCTTATGAACAAATATTCAAACAAAGCATTTTTTTCTGACTTGTGTAGTTAAAGTTACCGTTTAATTTTCACATACCTGATCTAGCACATTTTCACTAAACACCTTATGCACATGGAAAGGGTTAAAGGCAGAAGCCTGATCTTCCACTCTCCTCAAGGTCGTCTTTAAAGGTCGGATGGGTAATGGTTTTTCCTCTGAACCATTCATAGAAAACAGCTGTTCTTTTAAACATTCCTTCAAGGAAAAAAAATTACAAGTCAGGATGAGAAGAATACATTCTTTTTAAAAATAAACTGATTGATATCCAAATTTATCCTTCCAGCACATTTGCTAGACTACGGTATATTGCGTTGCCTCAGGAAGAATACATTTTCAGGAGATACATAGCAGAGCACCAATCAGTACTGCAATAAACCTATCAAAAATAGGTTTACCTAATGTATGGTATAGATTAAAAAACCATTTAACAAACTCTCATGTAATGAATGAATGCTTGATATGTCAGAATCTTTCCACCTGATTTTGTCTTGTCATTGGCTCATTTGTTACCATGTCTGGTTACCAAAACTTACCTACAGAGCTATTCCAGGCTCAGGAAAAAACTAAGTATTCTGATATGTTACTCCTAGTCATCTTATTCTATGTATAATTATAATGAAAGCTCTGAAACTCCATTTCCATAATATGATCTAAAAAACACTGACATTTACAGAAGCTGAAAATATGTAATTCCAATTGCCAGTGAGTGCCATCCTGGGCAAAAAGACTGTTTATTGCATTACACCTCATTTTCTACCCACAAATAAATAAGGTAAACAATCCTAATCTATTTTATGGAACTGTTTTTGGAAGATAACAAATTAAAATAAAAATCTAACATAAGCTAACAAATGCTTACTATTAATAAAGTCACTTAATAAATAAAAACAAAGATTCTTCTGATTTTTAATATGGAACAATATAAATTTTTTTCTTCAAGGTTAGGGTTAGGATGAAGTTCGGGATGGATGTTGGAGCTGAAAAGATTATTGGAGGTCATCTAAAAAACCACTGAAACTAACGATGATAATAATCTCTTAAACTTGCTCATCTTAACATGTGTCTCTTTAGAAAGATGAATTTTGTAGTGTCTGACATGTGGATTCCTACCAAATATTGATAATGAGAAAGCCCATCAGAAAAGAATTTTGTGCCTAGATTTAGATAATTGGAAAGAACAGAACTTTTTCCATCATAATTTATGAACTAAATTTTTCATTGGCATATGATAGTTGTACAGGGGGATACATTGTGACATTTACATATGTGCTTACAATATATCTAAATTAGATTCATCCTCTCCATCATTCTCTTTCATTCCTCCTCCTTCCCATTCTTAGAACAATTTCAACAGGTTTCATTGTTTTATTTTTTATACATATATACAAAGTACAGCTACCATAGTCCCCCTTCTTCACTCTCTCCATTTACCCTCCCACTGGTACCCATCCCTAGACAGACTTGTTTTATTTTCCTGTCCTTCATATTTTTAAGTGTATGTTGATTGCTGAAAGGGGTTTTGCCATGGTATTTCACACATGTATGCATTGTACTTTAATTGACTTAGCCCCCTCTTATTACTTACTCTTTCTCTATTGCCTTGCTCTCCCATTATTCAACAGCTTACAGTGCGTTTCATTACATTGAAGTAAAAATTTTTTAAAGGAATAAAATACTCTCTCTCCTTTGGGGGGGGAAAAAAAACCTTTGCTTTTTTTTCTTAACTGATTTCCCCTCATATAACTATATTTTGACATTTTGTCTCCACTATTTTAAAAAAATGTTTTTTTGCAATTTTGAGCAAAATGGCATTTTCTCCCTTGCCAATCTCTGCTATACTGGTAGTCATTGGTACCCCTTCTTAAAAACTATTATTAGGAGGTTGAGGCAGGAGGATGGAGAGTTCAAGGCTATCTTGGACTACTAGTGAGACTACGTCTCAAAAAAAATCAAAACAAAACAAAAACCAGATTTTTTTACTCTGATATTGCTTTAAACAGAGTTAATCAAGGCTACTTACTGGTTTGTAATATTTGCATTCTTTTTTGACTACCTTCTCATGCAGTTACATCACAGCTCATTTCTCCACCCATCACCTCCCTCTCTCTCTCCTTCTCTCTCTCTCTCTCTCTCTTTCTCTCCACTGAAGTACTCTACCTGTCTGAAGACCCCCAAGCCTATAGCCACAGCCTTTCTCATCAATGCTCAGGACCAGAACTTCAGCCACAATTGCACTTGTTTGCTTAGATGTCTTACCTTCCTCTCAAAGACAAATCTTAAAACCCATTTTCCCATCCAATCTCTGCAGGCTTGCACCCACAAATGTTTCTGAACCTGTCTACATTTTTTGAATGGTATTCAGCAGCGCATGTGGAGCACTGCTTATCAAGTGAGTAAACATCATATGCAATTTCACCCACAGCCCAGCAAAGCCTCACGTTTAAAGCAATCATAAGTACTACACTAGTCGCTCAGTAACCCTTGAGTGTATTGCCTGTGTTTTTCATAATAGTCACAGGTAAAAGTCTCCTACTTGCTTGGCTTTAGCCTTTTCTAGTGTTACGCCCCTTTCCTTGCTGTACATGCCTCAATTCAGCAGATTAAAACTCGAAATACTTAGCTTAACCTCCTATAGGATTGAAACAAAATTGACTTGAAGTAACTCTCAGACAGCTACTGTTTGGGAAAACTTTTATATAACTGAACTGTAAAATGGCATAAAATTTAATTCACTCCTTGGAAATATATGGTTTATAAGGTCTACATCATTGAGACAAAACCATCTATTCACATTATTCATATAATTTTACTATTCAAAAAAGACACTTAAGTAATTGCAAACATGAACATAATTGAAGATGCCATATTCAAATTTAGACACAAATCAAAATAAACATCTGATTAAGCTAGCAAATTTACATTGTTTCTAGTGAGTAGCTGAGAGGACCTCTATTTGCATGTTCTCTTAGGTACCCAAAACATGCAAGGTCAGAGGTTTAACTGAGCAAAATCACAGACAGGTATAACATTGGTTCTAACCAGTATCTGTGGATTAATGAATTTACTTGAGTTAATCTGGTTGTTCTCAAATATAGTTCAGTAATTCTTTCATTACATAAGAACTCTCCAACCTTACCAACATAAGTATGATACCTTCAGGAAAATAGGTATGTCTCTGAAAATTCTCCATCTCCACAAATACCAGATTTTAGCATCAGCTTAACATTCACAAACGCACAATTCCCAAACTACACCTCTAGTTTCTACAATTCTGAACTGAACTGAATTTATGAGCCGTGTTATTGTTTAAATCATATAAATAAAACCTACATTGTTTCCATGATGCTTTTTCTGTACAAATGCAGAACAGCCGGGGCTGAATAGATTCTATTAATAATGCAATATTGAGTTTGGTATTGACTTTAAAAAGTATTACCACCTCCTTGACTAACCCTTAGCTGCCAGCAGACGCTGCCTCAGGCCAGTACACACCTAATTGCTCGATAAAAAGGCCGTTTCCCTACCTCATTGAGCCGCATGAAGTGATAAATTTGCCTCAGGTACTCGCTGCCACCTGGTTTGTGGCAGAGATCCAGGACCATCGTGTTTATTTTCTGCTCAGTCAGTTCAAGAGCAGTGTCTCCTTCTTCTAAGACTGTGCTTTTCTCCATTGTCATAAATGCACTATACACAAAGGCAGAATATATGCATCAGTGTTGAGCAACTGTAAAGATGGACATAATAAGAGAACTGAGTGTGGAGAGTAGGTGTAAATCTCATGTTCAAAGCACTCATGAAGCCTTCGCTCAAATGGGCAAGTCTTCCCAAACCACTGCAGCTCATATCAAGTGTGAAAGAATGAAGCACCTGAATGCATTTTTTATATTGAATCATTTCTTTAAAACATTTCTTTGTTGCATTTATACTCCTAGCTAACAAAACATTTTCCCATTACTGCAATTGCTGAAATTGCTATAATTGTGGGGTGAAAACAAAACATTTCTTTTTAAGAAATGTTTTAAAAACATTTAAACATGTAAGAAATAATTTGTATTTTCTCTTTGAGGATAAAGTGTATATTTGATGCCAGAAATAGCTTTAGTGTTCTCTTTTTGTAGATTCCTTTTTGCACCTGTATAGAACACGAACACGTTAAAGACTAATTAGAGTGTCAAAAGGGGAGCCCTATTCTGCTAAAGGTAGGCCTGGCCCCACTTTCAGGCAGTATGCTTACCATTGGTATTTTAAGTTGGCCTTTGACACCTGTTGTCTTTTCAAACTGTATGCCCCCTCTCCTGTAACAAAAACCGTATGCCCCCATTCCTGTGATACTTAGTAAAAGTCACTACTTTGCTTATTCTTTCAGTAAAAGGGCCTACTGTCACCCTCCCGGGAATATTGGGGATATCACTCTGAAGCATGTTTGGTTTTGTTTTCTTTTTGCAGTGCGGGAATCAAACCAAGGACTCCATGTGTGCTAGACAAGCACCCTACCACTGAGCTACAATTCCAGCTCTGAAACATTTCTTTTTGAGGAATCCATGTACTTATTTTTGTCTTGAACATTATTTACATGCTAATTATGGGTGATATAAAAAGTTTTAAACATTTTAACCTATACCAGTGTAAAAAAAGTGTGGTAGTCATCAAACATCATATACTCCACACTAATTTTCTTATTATAATTGCTATTAGATTATGTTAGGCTTTGCAATATGAGTATTCTTACGGAATACTCATAGTCTTACACTTTTCCCAGACTGAATGGAATTTTCCATGGTGTAATCAGCTATATACTGCAGTTCATTACTGACATTTTGCCATGATTATAACATTAGTTCTGCTAAGAGTCAGTGCCGCTGACCTGAAGACTGAACCAAATGATACCCAGCTGCTGGACATTAACTTTGATATTGCTTCCACATGTAGCTCCAAAACAGGCTTCTCAAAAAAACAACAACAAAAAAACAAAACTTTGAGATCATGCAAGCCTTGTTAACAGAAAAAAAAAGAAGCAAATCCTATTGACTTGGAGATATTCATTAGCTAGAGTAAATTTTTTTTTAAAAGACCTTGTCACAACAAGAGAAATTTGCACATATCTGTTTGAAGCTGCATACAGGTTGCAAGCAAAATTTCTTCTCAGGTTTTGTAGAAGCTGACATTGAAAAAGTCGAGGCCCTCTGACAAAGGAGTATCTCAGTGTCAGCCCCTGAATTGTACCCTTTCCTGTCCATCACTGTGCAGGTGAAGCAAATGATTGGATTCAGTCAATGCTATGATTAATGAGTTCCTCTCTGGATTTGGGACTGCCTATCAATCATGTCATTAGGGAGAATGTGCCCTGGAAGAGGCAGACCTTAGCCAAGGAATAACTGCATTAATCTTAATCTGTATATGCACCCAGCCAGCCAAGTCAGGGTCACCATGATGAAAAACAATAATCTACAACTCGACAAATTACTTTGCAAAGACAGGCATTTCTTTACTTTTTAGGCTGTGTGTTCTCCAGAATCTAAGTTGACTGTTTACAGCTTGAGAGTTACTACAAAGTGAAGGTTATTTTAATGAATAGTAATGCTTTCAGGCAGTAGGCAAGACAAGCAAGGCTTACAGCTGCCACCTTTCTGACTGGTTATTTTCACCACTTCTATAAAAATCAAAGCTAAATCTGGATGCAGGTGAAATAAGTGTAGCTAAATGATATCATATAGTTCTAAGATAATCTTCAGAGGAAATAAGATTTAACTTATCTAACGGAAGAGCAATGTTGATATAATTTTTTAAAAACTACAGTAAAGCCAAGGCAACATTCTACCCGATAAAGACAAGGTTTGGAGTAATTTTTCTCATAGTGTAGCTCTATGAACTAAATGGTCATTAATTTATGAGTTCATGTGCATATCAGATAATCAATTTGAAATCAAAGTCAAGAATAAACATTCCTTAGCATCCAAATTCTGTGAGATTGTCATGTAAAGTGAGTTAAGTCAAATTTAACTCTTATTCACACAAATGTAATAAAAGTTTTACCTCTACAATTTTATATATTGATGTAATTATGAAATTGAGAAAGACATTGTATTGTGTTAATAACCTAATTATTCAGAATCTTGCAGTGCTATGAAACATTTGTTAAATCAGCGATTCTTCATTTTTGATGCATACTGTAAGAGATAGCTAAGCAATCTTTTGACTACTACCTGATCAGTTAAAAAGTAGTGAGACAACACCCTGCTATAGAAGATACTGGACATGTTGATAAGTTAAAATCGGCTTTTAAGGAAAAAAAACTTAATTTATGGATTACAGTATGTAGCCCTAAGTATATTGCTTAGTCATTGCTTTAAAGAGATCTTATTTTGATAGAACTCCTAAGTCAGTAGTATCATAAATTCAACTTTGTAACTATAATCAGATCTACTGTTTTTACTCTTTTCTTCTCTTTTAGTAACCACTGCCATTCATAATGACATCTAACCTTAATCTTTAGTCATTGGATTAAAACCTATAAATTAGTATTGAGCACAAATATAAAGATTAAGAAGGTCACTGTCAATGTTACTAAGCATTTGCCTAACTGCTATTTTTATCCCTACTCAGGAGAGATCCCAGAAGTATCCTAGAAGTCAGTATGACAAGACTAGGAAAATCATGATTACCTACTTTTCTCCTTATGGATTAATATAAAGTCTTATAGATTAACATAGACAAGTAAAGAGTATTAGCTACCATAATACCAGCCAATGAATCCAATGTGTTTTATTAGAGTTTATAAATAATAGATGTTACTAGTTCTAAGCTTGATGCAAAGAACTTTATGTTACTTAGTTTTTGAAAATGATTCTGCCAACTTGGTATCACACTGGAACTGAGGCTTTGAAAGATTCAATAACTTGCAAAAGATCACCCATTTACAAGAGATTTGCATTTTCCCATCTAATTCTAAAGCCTGAGCTCATTATTCCTACCATCTATTAGTAAGAATAACCATTTATCATGTGACTTTTAGTCATTTCAGGCAGAAGGTTCAAGGCAACATGAATATACTTAAAAAGAACAGGGGGTAATATGGGGGTTGTTTAAAAAATGGGCTGCCTTAGTGATACACCTGAACTGGAATTTCTTTAGCAATATCATGCAATTCCACACCTGAAGACTAATTTTAAGATAGGAGCACTCTATGTACATATTTAAATTCATTAGGGACCCTTAAAAATCTTTGCAGTACCACAAATCACTTAGCTTTTGGTGACAAACCTATGAGAAGGCTGACATTTTCATACTGAAGCAGCTGGGTATGTTTATAGCCCAAGTGTGATATGCCCCAGCTGCCCTCTGGGATTCTTACATTACCAGATGAAAAATGTGTACCTTTTTGACAATCAGGTACACAGAAAGCAATAAAAAGTCTTTTATATCCATTAATTCCTTCTTAATTTAATCTCCATGCCCACTCCATTTACAAAATGCTCTAGGCTATCCACTAGATACCTGTTTGCACACTGAAACGGAGTGAAACTAAATTCCCCTGGGTTTAACTACACCCTTTTAATCAAAAACCTAAGATGGTGACTAAACAAGTATAGAGTTCCTGTGTATCAATGGGGTTCAAATTTTAAGAAGACAAGGAATGTCTAACAATCCAGTGTTTAATGGAATACTTATCTTTTCCTATATTCATCAAAGTTCCCATGTGTTTAGCCAAATTACCATTGCTGCCCATCTGACAATGTTTTGCTGCTGTTGTGTATTGGCTATTTTGTTATTGTGAAAGTATTTGATGAAATTCAGTGAAAGAAAAACATGACTTTACCATTCAGTGCTCAATTTTCTTGCTTTCAACAGTTGGCATTCAATCCAGTTGGGCTTTTGCTGCTCAATGCTCTGTATGACCTTTTGGGTCCTTTGATTATGGCTTTTTTGCTCTCCCATGAGGCTTTCCAAACACACACAAATTAAACCAAGTTTCTCTTTACTCCATCTGTCAAGGGAGGCACCTGTTAAAAGTTCCATGGTGTTTCCATCCTCAAATATTCGACATATAATTACAATCAAGTTCCAGACAAGCAGGCCAGCTTTCTTCAATTCAACAAAGTTTTTTGACATTTTTCTCTCCGACAGAAAAAAGAAGTATTTAATTGGGGGAGGCAAACATGCAATCACCGTAGGTAACTTGCTGATTACAATAGATACTGCCTGAACAGCAAGCCTTGTGAAGCCTGGGGAAGAAAAGACAGAAAAGAAATGATTAATATTAGCATTTGCATTTCATCACTACATGGTTTTGTGCTGCATGAGGATGTCTAATTTTTGTGGAGAAAATTGTTGAGAAGTACAAATGCTTGACATATTCTGACAGAACTCTACTAGGGTCTCCTGCAGGATTACCTAAAATTCCCCAAATACCAAATTTAGAATGTTTTTTCTCCATAAATTAAGATTTGAAAATTCAGAATTATAATTTATATTTTTATCTTTTATGAACGCAGCTTTGAAGAACCTGGCTGCCCCCTAATTAATCAATGCCAAGGCTGAATCTCTTCCTCACCCTGGATACTTCTGAGTTCCCTTTAATACTTTCTCCTCTTCCCTTAGAATCTATAGTAAAATCATCTCACCTCTTCTTGGGACTGAATCCTTCTGACCTCCTCAGAAAAGTCTTGTTTCAGCATCCCAGTCAAAGCATTCCCTCTACACTCTTCCATCTGAGCCCCCAGTTCCTCTCTCTATCATGGGATCCTGTTTTCCTGCCTTTTTTCACAGCACTTGCCATCAGCTAATTCTTATCTCCTTTATCTGTTCATTTTCTGTCACTTTCTACTAGAATATAAGCTCCAGGAAGGCATTACTGTATCCCCAGGACATTGTACCTCATGTGTAAGAGCTATTTAATAAATATAGGTTGAATAAATTGGTCAAGGAACTAGTTCATGTTTACCTCTATTATTGTTCTTTGCTTCTTTGTGTCCCATGCTAGATGTACTTTCTACTAACACCTCTTAAGGGTAGGTATTTGTTAAGCATTCTTTTGGCCCCTCAGCTGATGATTCTATATGCCTTCCTTTGCTTGGTCTGTTTCTCTGACGGATGGATCAATCCTCCTTCTCTTGATCAGGGTTTCTCAATTTTGGCACCATTGCCATTTGGGGCTAGATAATTCTTTGTTGTGAGGAGCTGTCCTGTGCACTGGGGTGTTCAGCAGCATCTCTAGCCTTACCCACAAATGCCCTTCAGTTGTTACCTGGAAAATGTCTCTAGGCATTGCCAAAGTAAACCCTGGGAAAAAAATGGTCTGTGGTTGACAACCACCCTTTTTGATGATTCCAAATCTTCAGTCCTGGCCTTCCTCCAGGTTTGCAATCTTGCAACTCCAATTCCCTGTGGGGCTTTCCCTTCTCTGTCCTAGTCAACATTAACTTGTTACAAAAATTCATTGTCTTCCTTCCAAACTAGGTTGGGCCTCCTCCCCTTTCCTTGCTTCCTTCCTTTTAAATATGCCATTGATCCTTCATACTCAATCAGTGATAAGGGACTGACAGTCCCTTATTTCTGACATCTCCTTGCTGAGAGCAGCCTAGGTTGCTGACCCAGTTCAAACCCCTCCTTACAAATGGCACCAGGCAGTGGAAGCGCTCTCTTAATTCACATCCATGCTTTAGGCTGAATCCAGCCCCTCCTCTACACTGTGAAACCAAATTCATATACAGTGCTATGAATCTTATTATCTAGTTGATCTGCTATAATTGTTTTTAGCTATTTTCCATTGTTACAAGATAAGCCTCCCCAGCCTTGGTGTCAAAACAATTCACAGCTCAGCCTCCTCCTGTTTCATAAACTTTCTCTATCATACCTTTAATGTGTTTATCCTCTGCTTTTAAGCCTCTGAATATCTTATTACTCTCAATGGAATGCCCTCCCTCTTCATGGTTCACCTATATTCCCCAACTCCAATGTTCTATCCCATCTTGTAAATTTATTTGACTATATTTATTTGAATATGTTATCCATATAACCATGTAGGTAATCAGATCCACATTGGATCACTCCATGTCATCTTTTGTATTATCATATATCATTGTGTTAGTCAGACCTTTCGTGGCTGTGACAGAATGCCCAACATAAACAACTTAGAGAGGAACGATTTATTTTGGCTCACAGGTTTCAGTCCATCATGGCAGGGAGATCAGAGCTGTGGCCTAGGAAGCACAGAAAGAGAATGCCCACACTATCTGGTTTCTTCTTTTTCCCTTTTTATTCTGGTGGGTCTTTCCCCCTTAGTTAATCCTCACTAGAAATGCTCTCACCAACACACCCAAAGGTGTTTCTCAATCCAGTCAAGTTGACAATCAAGATTAACCATCACAAGCATGCTGTTAGGTATGTCTTTGTAGGTTGTCTTCACAACTGGACTGAAATCTCCTCGGGAGCACAGGAACAGATCTTCTTCTGTATCCTACAGAACCAGACATAGCTCATTTCTCACAAACAGGAAAGCACCTAGTGCATAGTCCCTTGATAAATGTTTTCTTTTTATTCAAATGTCTTCTTCCTTATTTGTTTGTGTTTCATAGTCTCTCTTTTACTGTCAAGTATTTTACTTAAAAGTTTGTATTTTATATTCCCTCTATCCTAAAGTGGGTTTAAACACAGGTATTTGGCAATTTAAGTAGAAATCGGGTAAAGATTACCAACTCTTTTTACACCTGAACTTCTACTGATATTTTATTAACTCTGAGAACTCCAGGTTCTTAACTCTTCAAATAAAGTTTAAGGCAAATCCAATCAGGATCTTCAGGATGATGAAAAATGAATAAATCCATTCTACCAATCTTAAGGGCTCTGAGTCTATGATGATGTTAACAACACAGTAGTGCAGAGTCTTTTAATACCGCCACACCTGCAGTTTTCTTTAAATAAGTTAATATACATTTATGTAATATATTACGAGCCATCCAAATTTCAGAGCTAATAACATGATTAAAATGTTAGAATAAGCACAATATGGTAGATATTTTTGTGTATTTATCATTTCTTCCTTCCTATGCATTTAGTAGTGTAATAATATTTGTAGTATAAAACATGCAAAAAGGAAATTTATAACAAAAGGAAAGACAAAATGTCTTAAAATTAATTTTAAAAAAATTATTTATGGACACTACAAAATATCAATAACAATTTGTTGAATTATGATAATGTGATTTTTATGTTTAAAATCTGGGCTTCACACGTCACAATACAAAGGTCTGGTTCTAAGTTCACTGTTTCTCAGTTCCATGCTTTAATGGATCTCACAGGTGAAAAAGGCAGTTCACAAACACGCAGAGCTACAAGGAACAAGCTGTGCTTACAAAATCATGGCATTTATTTTTCAGTCTTAACCAGGCAAAGCTGTTGTTGATGTTCATCTAATAAATATCCATTATCCATGATGTCAGTTAGTTGTTCTTGCAAACAAATTGGAATGCATTTCATTTTTGTATTTTTAAGAAAAAAGCTCAAGAATTGCTGAAAGTTCATTTGAAATATTTTTAAACATATTAGAAAATTCTATATCTAAGTACTTAAGTGTATAGGTATGATATTTTCATGGGTGATATTGGTTTTTACAAAACTAGTATTTCTAGGTTTTATAAAATAAACTATATTAATGACTCTCTGTAGTACTTTGTGTATTTCTGCCACCAATATTCTTCTGAATCACCTACATGTGAACAATGGCACCTACACATTTTCTTTATGGTACTACCTCTGTTTCTTCTCTCTAGAATCCATTGTTTCAGTTAAAGCAATTATTCTAACAATTTTTCCATAAAACATTAGTTTCATTAAAAACATGAATTACTATTGAGAAAATATCACCTCAAGTATATCTTTCATTTAATTGCTGTCAAAGAAACAAAAGAAAATAAAACTAGTTCTTTGTGTATTTGCTCTTTGAAACATAACGGAACACATAGGTAAAAGCTGACTTGTATCAGAACCAGCTGAATTTTTATCCAACTGTGTGGTAAATCTCCTACTGTAATTTATTATAATACTTATTTCTTTAAATCCTCAGTTTTTTTTTTTATATAATAGTATTTGCTGACAAAGAAATGAGGAAATGAATTTCAGTTTGTCACCATAGTGTTTCTCATGTTCTGTCATTTTCACTGTGTTAAGGACAAATGCTCCCTTAAGATTCTGGCTATTTTTCTTTTTAATTAGTTAGAATTTTTTAAGTCCTTTAAACATTTATCATTGTTTAGACAAATTTTGCAAAGACCATGATTATCTATCACTTGACTTAGAACACTGCAGAAAAAAATTACGAAAGTTTGTCTTCATGTTTTAGATGCTTTGGTTTGAAATCTTTTGTTAATCAAGACAGCTTCAAGCTATCTTTAGCTAATATTTCAAGGCACAATACTCACTTAGGAGGGATTTACATTTAACAATAATATATGGGAAGCCATATTTAAAATGGTTTTCCCACACCTTTATTGTTTGTTTGTTTGTTTTCACCAATTCTGATTGGATCTTCATTGTTTTGCCTTATGATATGACTGGGAAAGAGCTCATATTAGCAATAAAAATAAGTCTGAACTTTTTCACTTTGTCATTGTGTGCATTTCTTGTATTCAAATATAGCTGATTTAATGATTCACAGGAATATGTTACACTTACTTGTATGTTTTTGGAGGATTAGTTTTGTTGAAACCAGATTCTACAGTACAAAGGACAACTTTGAGGCATTATTGGATGAAGAAAGCTAAAAGAGTAAGGTCTTCCTGACTATCACTTTCCCTCCAATATTGTGGCACTTCTGCCCCCTTGAGCTTCCTCACATTTTGTCCCCAACATAGAACTTAACTGGGTCACTCACAGATGGACGGACGATTCCATTGACAATATGCATGAGATTAAAGTTTAATTGTTTCTTTCTTCTCACACACCAAAGAACTATACATTCCTTGATGTTTGCATCCATTATACTAGATACTAGATATATTTATAGTTTATCTCCAACCTTAATCACAGTGCCTGATAGGTAAGTAGTCACTCTCTTAGCAAATACCTGTTGAATATAATAGACAACTTAGTGCCCAGAAAGTAAATATTGTCTGATTTGTACAGTAGCCTTCCCCTCCCACCCAAGTGAGACACCGTCCAAGATGGCCAGGGGACGCTTGAAACTAGTAGAGTCCAGTAGAGTACTGGACCCTATATATGCTTTGTTTTTTCCTACACATACATACCTAGAGTGAAATTTAATTATGAATTAGGTACTATCAGAGATTAACAATCAAAGAGAAGAGTTATAAAACTACTATAATAAAATTATGTGAATGTGGATTCTCTTAAAAGAATCAAGACAAATATTCATATTTTTGGGCTACAGTTGACTGAAACTGCAGAAAGCAAAATCATGGAAAAAGAGTGAAAAGAAAGGTCAAGAAGTGCCAATCTAAAGTCTCCATAGCATTTCAGAGATCAGGAAGGAAGCACAATGACATTCCTTATTGTCATAGCCACGAAGGATGCACAAAATGGTTCACAAAGTCACTTTCTTCTGTCACTTTCTTTTATATATTCATGTGATCTGATTCCTCTTTGTGGCTTTCTAGATATTGTACTTCTATATTTAGTGAGAATTTATGGAAAATATTATTTAGAAAGGAAAACTCTGACAACTGATGGCTATAAAGGAAGCATGTTTTTGGAACCAGAGATTCTTTGAAATAATATGGAGGAATTCCAAAATGCTCTTTAGAAAGCAAAATTATTTATGAATACAAGGATTTGAAGGCTGCAATCAAAATAGTGCTACTCATACAGCCTGATATGTTAACTATACATTGTGCCTCCTGAATTGCTCAAAATGAATGAAATATCGCAAAGCAGAACGAAGGAGAGGCTGCAACAATTCTTAGGTAAGGAAGAACTCAGTAATGAAAAGGTGACATTTTCCAAATTCAATTAAATGACTTTACTGGATTCAAAGGCAGTTTAATAGGGCTTGGACAGAATTAAAGCATTACTATGAAAGGTCACACTTAGATAATTGATTTGAGTTTGTAACATAAGGTCGCTGGATAAGAGGCACATTACTTAGGATCTCCATGGAGAAGAATGAAAGAAAGGCTAGTCCCTTCAATTGACTTTTGTAGGTTCAGCTGGGGTATTTTATTGTTGAAAGTTTCTTTAGAGTTGGTGAAAAAATATTCTTCTTTAAAGAAAAATATGAAAGGAAAAAGTTTTATTTTATTTATTTATTTTTCTTTTCTTTTCTTTTATCATTTTTACATTTACTTACATGTATATACAATTGTTTGTGCCCTCCTCCCCAAAAAGTGTTATTTTTAGAATATTAAAAGAAGATTCACAAATACCAATATATACTATTCATTCAAAGAAATTTTGTGAAAATTCGGGGAAACAGCTAGGTTTCTATGAAGAAATCTTTGAAAAAGAGAAAGCTTGCCAGGCACCAGTGGCTCACACTTGTAATCCTAGCTACTTGGGAGGCTGAGATAAGGAGGATCATGGTTCGAGGCCAGCTTGGGCAAAAAGCATTTGCAAGACCCCATCTCAACCAACAGCTGGGCACTGTAGAGAGTGCCTGTCATCCCAAGCTATGTGGGAGGCTGAGATCCAGGAGATTATGGTTCCAGGCCAGCCCCACCAAAAAAGTTTGTGAGACCCCATCTCAACAGAAAAAAAACTGAGCATGGTGGCATACCTGTCATCTGAGAGACAGAGTGAGGTTAAAAAAGGAGGATCACAGTCCAGGCCAGCCTGGGCAGAAAGTGAGACCCTGTCAGAGCAAAAAGGGCTGAAGGTGGGGCTTAAGTGGTAACACTTCTGCCTTGCAAGCATAAAGCCCTGGGGGGGTGGGGGGATAGAAAGGGAGAGACAGAGAAAACTTTATTAATAAAATAAGTGTGAAATGTAGATAACTGATAGCTCTTAAATATGCTTCCTAGGTTCTCTGAATGATGCATTAAGTTCAGAACCACAGGTATGTTACCCGTCAGAAAAATAAATGTAGTTAACAAACTGAGTGCTCTTTTGAACTTAAAAACTGTACATGTAGGTGTGTTAAGAGAAAATAAATTAATAATTGGTGGTTGCAGAGAAAAAGAAAAAGGAAGGAATAATTAGAGTGAATATCAGAGTAATCTTTTGTGTGTGTGTGTGTGTGTGTGTGTGTGTGTGTGTGTGTGTTGGTACTGACTGGATGTTGAACTCAGGACTTCACTCTAACACTGGAGCCACACCCCATTGGGGGATAGGGTTTCTCATTTTGTACGTGGGCCAGCCTGAGCTGTGACTCTCCTATTTATGCTCCCTCTTGGCTGGGATGACAGGTGTGTCCCACCATACCCAGCAACTGATTGAGATGGAGTCCCTCTAACTTTTTTCCCAGCCTTCCCAATCTCAGCCTTCCAAACAACTGGGATTACAGATATAAATCACTGCACCTGGCCCAAAGTAATCTTTTTGAGGGTATAACTCTTAGATTACTCACTACATAAAGAGTATTAGTCAAAATCATGTGACTAGTCTGTGAACATTAACACAAAAACAAAATATCACAGAAAATTCTGAACTATCAGTTAAATAAGAATGAACATTTCAGTCATTTTAATTTCTGGTTTACTTGTTTATGTAACTCACAGTAAAAAAAAATAAGGTGGAAGAAAGATTAATATAGTTCACCAATCTTATAATCTTTAGAATTTTATTCAATTGAATATCCTAAAAAAAACCCAAAAAACCTGCTTCTTGGACTGGAGGTATGGCTCAAGTGGTAGAGTGCCTATTTTGCAAGTGTGAAGCCCTGAGTTCAAACCCCAGTCCTATCAGAAGAAGGAAAAAAACTCAAAAAATACTTCTTTGTGGGTTGGTTTCTTAAAGAAGAACAAATACACTTACCTCTGTTTGATTCGTTCCTTTTGTTTTCTTTTGGAATGTAATTCCATTCTTGTGGAATAGTCTCAAGCAGATGGTCAGGAATGCGGGGCTTGCTTAAGTTTGTCTCTCTGCTTCTCCGAGAGCTCGTCACAGATACTATCTGCTGCACAGTGTCCTTGACAGCGCCAGTCAGTGCCAGTCTCAAGCATCGGATGACCTCTGGCTCAGATGCCACATTCCCTGAGACTTGAAAAACAGATGGTGTGTTGCGGTTAGCAGAGCCTAGCAATCAGTGTGCCTCATTCCTCTGGGAATGCTGAATCACAGTAATCTAGTTTAAAACTCCAGGAAAGGAGAGCTGATTGTAACTGAGAAATCATACAATTGACAATTAGTTCACACAGCATTAAAAACTTCTTCCTGTTAATAAAGACACTGCAATTGAAATTATGGTAAATAACAATATTTACTGGTAGTTTTAGGCTCTGATGGCAAAATACAAGTGGTATGACATTCTTAGATAATAAGTTGGCAATACTACCAAAATCTTTAATCTGGAAATATAGCATAAGAACCTGGGTTTGATTCCTAGCACCACCAAAAAAGAAAGACAGATGGAAAATACAGAAAAAAAAAAAACTTGAACATTTTATTTCCATATCAACTCATTTATTCCTTTCTGTAGGACAAATCTAAATTCTAAGAAATTAATCAGCTACTCAAGAAGCAGAGATTGGGGAGATTGTAATTCAAGGTCAGAAAGAAATTAGTGAGACTCCATCTCAATAAATAGCCAGCATGCTGGTGCGTGCCTATGGTCCCAGGCAGTAGGCAGGCAGAATTAGAGTAAGAGGCTAGTCATGGGCAAAAAAAGAAAAAAAGAAAAAAATCGAGACCCTAACTGAAAAATAACTAAAGCAAAAAGGACTGGGATTGCAGTTCAAGTTGTGGAGTACCTACTTAGTAAGCACAAGGCTCTGAGTTCAAGCTCCAGTACTGCCAAAAAATTAAGGCTATGTAAGAGATATAAAGAAAGATTAAAAACTATGTAAATGTCCAGTAATAAGTGATTTTTAAAAATTAGCTCTCATATAGTTATCTGTACAATAAGTTATAGATTTTGTAGTTTAAAAATAAGCCGGTTGTAAAAGAGTACGGTGTTCTATTTTTACTTAAAAATACACATCAAGTCACACACATAAAAAATTAAAGGATATACTCTCTAATGTTAATGTTAATTGTGACTGTCAGTGACTGTTAGGATTTCAAGTAATTTTTTTCCTTTCTTCTCTTTTATTCTTTCTTCCTGCCTTCTTTCTTTCTTTCTTCCCTTCTTCCTTCCTTCTTGTCTGCCTTCCTGACATCATAAATTCATGGAAGGGCCTGTATAATAATTAGTATCCATTCGGATGAACTCGTGGGAGCTATGGATGAAATATATTTAGATATGGATGAAATATATCTAGACTATCCAAAAATTTTAGGAAGCCAGAAATACTTCCATGTTTATTTCTTTTAAAATAAAATCAAGTTCTTGAAAATGATTCTCTAAGAATTATTTAAAAATTAAATGAGGTGATTTATGTAAAGTACTCAGAATAGCAACTGGCACATAGTAGGTACAATGTAAGTATGTATTTGTTATTTTTATTAATGCCTGAGAGGTTTTTTTAGAAAAATTACAATGTTATGGTATAGGATAGCCAGCATGTATCTAATAAAAGGTCCTGAAACAAGACAGCTTGAGCACTAGATGCTATGTAGAGGATTAAACATGCTCCTATCAATGCCTATGATAGGAATAAAATACAGATAAAGAACAAAGAAAAGGAGAAATTGGAGGAAGAGGGAATAGGAAAAAAAAGGAAGAAATGCAGATGAATGAACTCAGGACTTGAAGCTTGCAAAGAAGTCATTTTACTGCTTGAGTCATGCCTCCAGCCCATTTTGCTCTGGTTATTTTATCTTTTTTGTTTTTGATTATTTTAATCATTAATACCTATATGTTTCCATAATCAATGTAATGATAATCATCATATTGTCTTCCTTGTCTAAGGAATGTCACTGAGTGTAGGAGGAGGGAGTTTCTCTCAAGCTTCCTAGTTTCTATGGAAAATCACCAAAACGAGTTCTACACTTGAAAAACATTCCAAGACTCTTAACAAAGAGTCTCACAAAGTGGAATTTTTAGCAAAGATTTATTTTTGTGTAATGGGATAAAATAGAAGAAGTGGGAGAAAAGAAGGAGAAACATTTCCTGCTCCTCATGCAGGAAATGGGAGTAAAGACTCAGAATGGTGGTTCTAACCACACATGTCATGTCCTCTAGCAACCCCTAATTATTAGACAATGGATCTGGGTGCCTGAGACAGATGCTGCTTGTTATTTTAAGACATGGAGATGTGATCTAGGCTTACCCAAATCACAGGAACCATAGGTCAATTTTAGGAATTCTCTTTGCTAGGCATGTCTTTCATTTTCTTTTTAAAAAATTTTTTTATTGTCATATTATTGTTGTGTTTGGGGTACATTGTGACATTTACAAAAGTGCTTACAATATATCTTAGTTAAATTCACCCCTTCCATCATTCTTGGAGATGGGGTCTCTCCAGGCAGGCCTCAAACAGCGACTTTCCAGATCTCAGTCTCCCAATTAGCTAGGATTACAGGCATGAGCCATCCAGCACCAAGTCTTACCCAGAATATTTTCAAATGTTAGAGTGAGTACTTAGATTTATAAGACACACAGCATAGAGATCCTATGTACTAACCCCAAGACCAGCTGCTGTAAACTCAATATTAATTCTAGATTATTAGCATAATGGAGAGAAGCAAAAAAAAAAAAAAAAGTGCCACCCAAAATGATAATAATTTTATTGTTATTATAATTTGAGTTTTTCATATTAAATTAGCTGAAACAAAAGCAAAGAAACATAAAATTCTGGTTGTGTCATATAAACTAAAGAATCCCTCCATCATCTAATTTTCTAATATTTCAAACCAATATTAAAAGTATGGGAACTTTATTTAATCTAGAAGGGAACACAGTGTCCTTACCTACAAAAACAGTGAGGTGGGAGGGCAGGAAGGGCTGGACAAGAAGATATTTATGTTCTTTCTTAGTTTTCAGTTTCTGTGACTCTATTTAAAATGACTAAAAAGAAATAAATATTTCACAGCCAAGTACATACAAAATCAATATGGGCCATGACTCTGCTACTTTCTTTACAGCACAGAAATCAGGAGTCCTTAGAAAAAGGCTGAGTGATGATCATAAGCCAAAAATGAGCTCAAGGTCTCAGCAGCATTTCTAAGAAGGATATAAACCAGTTTATGTATGTTCATATTTTCATTAAGATACTAATTGTTCATCAATTTCATGAGTAAAGTCTCAAAATTTGATAGTGATACAAGAAAGAAAGAAACTTCATTACTCTTAAAATTTCTGTAATTTCAAAGAATCAGAACAAACGTAGTTCAGTGAGTTTTTCAGACTGCCTCTACGAAAAATGTTATATGTACACAGAATAACCTAATTTGGCATTATAAAAGTAATGGAAATTACATTTGAATGTGTTTCTAAGTAAAAGGCTTTGGTATAAAAAAAGTATTCTTTTAATAAATTGACTAATCAGGAGCCATTGGAAAAGTTTTCTGATAAGTTATAAGTAATTATGGAGAAAAAGTAACAAAATGTCATGTTACTATATTTTCTTTGCTTACAAAATTAAAGTTTTCTCTGATACTTTAAAACTTTAGATAATAGAAATAAAACATTTTAATTTGGACATGATCGAATTATCTTTTTTTAAATAATGAAACTGATTAAGCAGATAGTAAGTGATGAACCAGCCAGGCAAGGATATATTTAGTAAGCTTCTCTCCAGCAAAAAACCTTTGATAAGAAAATTAATGTGAGAAAGGGTATGATCAAGTATGTAATACACATATCTGAGAATGTCACACTGAAACTCCTTATTTTGTACAATTGATATAGGTTAATCAAAAGAGAAAAAAGAATGAATTTTTTTACAAAGAAAATGAAAAAGACATAGATTGGGAGAAATTTTATCAATATATGTATATGACAAACAACTTATGTCCAAAATATATAAAGAACTCTTTACAACTCAATAAGACAAACAAGTAGTCAAAAGTTTTGAATAGATATTTTACAAAAAAGGAATCAAATTGCTGTTAAGGACAGGAAGAAGTGTTCAATTTCATTAATCATGAAGAAAATGTACATGAAAACTACATGAGATAATACTATGAACTTCTTAGAAGGACCAAAATCAAAGAGAGCATCTCAAGGATTGGCAAGGATATGAATGAATTCTTATACATTGTTGGTGGGAATGTAGAAAGGTAAACTGCTTTGTAAAGCACCTCAGTAATTTCTTTGGAAGTTAAATGTATACTTATATGATCTAGGATTTCCACTTCTAAGTAGTTACCAAAAGAAAAATGAAAACAGATATTCTCCCAAAGACTTGTGCATCAATGTTCTTTGCAGCTTTATTCATTATAGCCACAAACTAGAAACAACCCAAGTGTCCATCCAATGCAACAATGAATAAAGCAGAAAATACCGGTCAGTGAAATACTACTTAGTGAATACTTTTCAGCAATGAAAAGAAATAAATATTATCTGAGCATAATATAAGCAAATAAACCAGACCAAAAAAATAGATTTCTACTTATATAGTATTCTAGAATAGTCCAAAGTAACCATCATGACAGGAAGTATTTGAGTATCTTCTTGGGTTAGTATTTGATGGATGAATTGGTTATAAAAGGAATGAAAGAACCTCTGGAGATGATGGAAATTTTCTGTATTTTTGTTGTGGTGATTGTCACAATGGTTTCTACATTGATCAAACTTATCGATTGTTTTCTTGAAAGAGTGAATTTTCTTGTATGGAAGTTAGATCTCAATGAAGTATTTTTTTAAAGTTTTTAAAAAGTGGACTACAAATAGAGACACTGGATGGATGACCAAATAAAAGGCTCAGGATAAGTGGCTACAATGTAGAAGTCAGTCTTCCAGTTTTTTAATGCAGTATTACTGTGTAACATCTCCCCACACAGTGCTGCAAAGGTAAACCACTGTAAACTAACTTCAGCAACAAGAAAACAACTCAGCATGTATGTGCATTGGAAAGAGCTCTTCTTTAAAGATCTTTGTGTGACTGAGGAGAATGAGCAGAGAACCAAAGTGGAAACTTTGGATTTCAAAGCCTGAGTGGGAAATTTTGCTAAGTTACTGAAACCTTTCTTCCTAAAAGCTATGAGAGAGTTAAGAAAACTGATTCAGAAAACAAAAGTAAGGCCAAAGTCAAATTGAAGAGCAACATGAATGGTAGTTGTTTGTATGTTACTATAATATTATGCAGGACATTTTTGATAATATTTTCCTCACTGACAAACCAATTTTGGCAGTGAGTTAAAAACCAGTTGCCAGTTGAAGTAATTTATGACTTGATATTTTCATTTGCCCAGTGACTTGATCTTCTTTGAAAATATAGGCCTGCAATGATTACCACAAAATCTGTTTTTTACAGAAAGCACTGGCTTTTCAAATGTCTACATTTCATCCTTAACTTTTTTATATGTCTGTGTTTTATAATCTATTAAAATGGTATTGTCATTCTTGTTTTTCCCTCCCTGGCTCATGTTCATTCTAAGAAGCCATGTGCTAGCTTTCTAATTATAAAATCAGACTTTATATTTCATTACAGAATTCATATATTCATTAAGCTAAGCATCTCAAAAATTTTAGTCTAATAGAAAAAGTAAAGAGAAAAAACATGGTCAGTGAGTTAGGAGATCTGGTTTCTTGCTTTTAGTCTGTCCCCTTAATTGGCTGACAATCTGAGACGAGTCTCTTAATACCTTCAGCTTTGGTTTACTCTGCAATAAGATGAGAATATTTGCCACTTCATCTTGGTCTTTCCACCCCAAAATGATATGACTGATGTTTTATGAATCAGCTTAGGCTGAAATCTTTGGCAGTGTTTCAGCAAGAAGAAAATACGCCAGTGAAAATTTTAAATGTACTCCAGTGGATCTGGGTAAGTACCTTGTATTTACTGGAGCATGGATCTATTAGTGTTGAAGTATAAATATTGTAGGATAATGATTATGTGTCTCAGCTACATTTCCTGTTAACACGTTTTTCCAATTAAACAGAAGTCATAGTAAAAGTCTTAATTTTGTTATGAATAAATACATTGTTTATTTTGTTAGCATTTGTTAAATAACCATGGTTGACAACAGAAGAGAAAGAAAACTTCTGAAATGTTTCAGAGAGAAAAGAGGATGATAAAGATCCTTACAACCACTGTCAGTCTTAAGTTCCAGAGAAATTCAAGATCCAGACGACATTTAAGGTTAATGGAGAAATGGCTCATACAAAGGCCAAGGAATTTTTTTTTTATTTAACAATTTGAAGTTCAATTCCCTTGAGTCTTCCCACACAATTTGGGCTATACAAATATGTGTAACACTTGTTTCCAAAGACTTGTCTGACTTCCTGGAGAAGCATTTGTTCAATATGTAGGTAAAGAGAAGATAAATTAGGAGCAAGTAACTCACTCTTTACAACACCCGAAGAACCACTGATATCTTCTAACTCATTTTCAGTACAGTTTGCATTGTCAAAAGTAGTTTAAGAACTTAATACCTGAAGGGTAAATAGTGGTTGAAGCATGAAGGTCAGTAATTCCTCGTAATCTTGCAAGAGAATCCTGCTCTTACTTCCTAAAACATCCAAAAATAGCAGAGGGTGGTGGGCTTTCTAAGTTGTTTTTCTTCCAGTTAAGGAAAGACTATATCAGAAGCACAATAAGCTCTAATTCATTCTTTGTACCTAGCAACCTATCCCTCCTTTATGCAAACAGGAATCAAAGGGGTAATGCATGGAAACTAGGAAATAAAACTTTGAATGGAGATAACTATTACAGAATCTTCAGTGATACATTCAGATTTTTGAAACCATTACATAAAGGTATCTATTCCTATTTTGCAGGGATGATGACCAAGAGAAGATGAAACCTAGTGACTTTAAGATAGCTAAAATGATATTCAAGTATTCTGTAGAGGATAGTCAGAAAGTCCAGGAAGAATGAAGACATAAATCTGAGCCTGTTAGATTTTTCAATAGAGTCTAGGAAATATTTTGTGAAAATGCTGGCTCCAAAGCAGTACAAAAGAAAGCTTATAGGTTGAAGTCCAAATGTAAATGATGTAAATGACTAATAGAATTAATAGAATAACAGGATAATGAATTAATGAATTCATGGAATGACAAGATAATGATAATAATATTTATCTAAATCTTCATCCTTTGTTTCCCCAAGATATTAAATATTAAAGGTAGAATATTAAGGATGAAATAATGTGAGAATTTTTACCTGGCTTGCAGGTGTGTCAGTCCATCAACACCTCCTGCTCAGATTAACAACCTTCCTTGCCTCTCTAGTTGAAGGCAGAAGAACAGAACAGGTGGGGAAAACATATTGTCCCCAAAGGACACACTTGCTTTGTAGAGAGGCACTATGTACATAATAATAAATGCCTAGAATATTTAAAGAAAATTAACTAGTAGTATCACTCATTAACTTGTTGAATAAATGCAGTAAATTCTCACAAAATACTTTTCACATCTTATTGATAACTTATACGTTCCTCAGCAATACATTCCCTGTAGTAAATATTAAATTTAAACTTTATAACAGAATGCTTCCGTAAAATTAAAAAAAGAAAAAACTACATTAGCTAATCTTCCCCCTCAAACTCGACCTACTTTATCCCAAGTGTATCACATTTGACAAGAATTAATGTTTTATGATTTCTAACAGAAACTTTTATAATGAAAAGATAAAAGGTAAACGTTTGCAAACAACAGATTCAGCAAAATCAATAACAAAACTTTAAAAATATGTTTAAAGGTATTTTAGGTATTAATAAAGCACTTCATTTATAAACAGTAAATTTCTCATACCTGGAATGCTGTATAAAAAGTCCCATAATTGTTCTTCTTCTATGTAGCTCACAAAAACATTTCCAAATATTTGTGGAGAAAAACTGCAATGGTACAGTATGTTAAAAATGGCTTCCATCATGCTAGATCCTTGGTTTGGATTGCTTTCTGTGTCAGAAACTTGTTCTCGGAAGATGCATTCTTGGAAAGAATACATATGATTTAGTAAGGTAGGTATGTAGGTGTTAACGAATATGATTAAATTCTTCTCCTTACCTTAGCATAACCATAAAGCTATGAAATATATTTGATAAATATTTTCATAAGAGAAATACCACACTTTCAGATAAAGAGTTCATCCAACCTAATATTGTTTCTGAGATACCCATAGATATTTATTGAAAAAAGTGAAAACTGAGAAAGACCACAATGACATCACTTCAAAGGGCAATGATAGTTTCCCTGCATGTCAGAATTTTTCTTTATCTTAAAGAAAACATTTTTTGTTTATTTTTCTCATCTAAATATTATAAAATTCATTCTAGAAATTGTTTTAAAATCCAAACAAGTCAGAAAACTAAAATTGCACTGAGGGAAAATTCACAATAATAGTGTTTTCAAAATTATGTAATCAATTCAGCAAATAAATTTATGAATGTTTCCCAAACCCACTAACAATGTTAGTTTAGAATGAAGAGATGTTTTCCCATGGGTTCCATGTTACAATTATATCAGGAATTCTACAAAAATAGGGCCATTTTAATTGCCTGCTTCATCCTTCTACAGTCTTCATTAAGGCTTCCTCAAAGATTAGTAACCAAAAGTTCCTGTACTATTGCATCTATGGGATGGATGGAAAGGTGAAATAATAATTTCTATTTTGTTTAGATAACAAGCAGCATCATAGAGAGCAAAAATATTTATTGAATGAAATAATAAACTTGTATCTTATATTTTAAATATCATGTACAAATGTAATCTAGAGTCTTTTGAAATGAGTATATTTGTTTATTCTTGCTTACTTATGAGCTCATCACTTTGTTTCCTCCCAAAAATTTTCTTTCTGAGATTTTATTTTAAAGATCTAGAGGAGTCCACTATTACTTGCTAACTTAAAAATAGCACCATAGAATTTATACAGAGGGCATTTACTGTTTTTTTGCTTCCTAATATCTATCTCAAACAAGTTAAAATTTCTTTAGGTAGTTATCTCTGCCCCTATCTACCTCCCTTCCCCCACCCCACTCCATACATCCAGTCCCAGTTTACTTGGCTTGAGTGGAGTAGATTCAACTACTTGGTGTGGGCATGTGACCAAAGCCTGACCAATCAGAGCCTCACACACACACACACACACACACACAGACGCACGCATGCACACACACACCCATCAAGAGTAATCAGTTTGTGAATAAGCAGGTAACTTGGCAAAAATCCTTGCTGTAATAATTGATAGAGCAGTGTTCTTTTTCTACTGGGTTTTCTAAGCTAGTAGAAAGTAGGCTGGAAGTTGTTGCTGGTAGCCATTTGAGGAAGAACTGGACTAAGAATAAATCTGCTACAGTAAGAAGCAGATCCAAGAGACTGAGAGAATTTCCCTGATGAGATAATACTGTTTAAGAACCTGGTTCAGCATGGCCCATCCATTTAGTTTGACAGAATTGAGAAATTTCACTTTTTTGGTTAAATATGGTGAATTTGGATTTCTGTCACATTCTAAAGGGTCTTGAATTTTTTTTAATCAAGCATAAAATGTGAAATGGCAAATAATTCTAATTCGAGCATCCATAATTTCATCTTTTCTATCCAACCTTCTCCCCTCCCTTCTCTCCAATCCATGTTATATACAGTAATTCATTGTCCTTCATGTCAGCCCAGTGTTTCACCTTGCTGCTACACCAGTTCCTTAGTCTGATGACCCAGAATTTTCACAATCTTTCCCAAAATTATGGCCCCATTCTCAAACATCTGTTCCATACAGATGTTTATTTGCTGTTGATTGTAAATGTGTCTATCCATCTCTTTTTCATTGCCTATGTCATTTCATCAATCTAGACTGTTCTCCTCTAATAAATCCCCATGATTTAATCAGTGAATTGACTGAGTTGACTGACTGCTCACAGTGTGTCAGTCATTGGACAAGATGCAGAGGCCTTCACCTTCCCAGGATTCATTGATATACACAATCAATGTATGCTTTTGGGGGGAGAAGTAGATAGGTAAGTAATAATCACTACAGCAAGGCAAGGGTAACTAAAGTGATTGTGAATCCTAGTTTGCCTGAAGTGGTCCTGGCTTATGTCTATTGTCTTGGCATACATACTACTCACATCCTCTTTCACTCTTACAAGCACACCAGTTTGAATGATAAACCATTACCTAATTGTAAGGCATTATGGAAATACACAGAATGATGGGCTACATTTTTTTCAGAGAACATAAGGAAGTTACAAAGATCATGTCCCAGCCAAGACTGTAATGAGTACAAGCATATAAAGATGACAATGTGAGGTGGAGAGTACTTTCCAGAAAGACAGAAGATGGCCTAATGGTGAGAAAACAGACAACTGCTTAAGTGAGAGTGCTGTGAAGGGAGATGAAGCTAGACAATCAGAGTACGGCTGATCTAAGCTATGAGAACCATGCCACGACAATGCACATGGGGAAAGTGAGGTACATGGAATACTTATAATAAAATAATATTATGTCTACTACTACATAAATGTGACAAGATACTTCAATAAAATTTTGTTTTTAATTTTTCTCCCTCTGTTTTCCTTTGCTCCAGACTAAAGTGGTCTATTTCTCTTTACTTGCCTCATGATTTCTACAAATTGAATGAAGTCAGATGCCTTCCTAAATTTGAGGAAAAAAAAAAAGAAAGAAGAAAGACTAAATTGAATGGTGATCAGCCTGAGCATCATAAAGTAGCCATTCTGGTAGGCCAAAAAAAGGTAAAACATTGGCATACCATGTGGTTCCCAGGGAAATCATATGTGTCCCATCAGAAGAGCAAGGATGAAAGTTTGGATGACTCTGTGACTGCAAAGAAGAGCGCTGGTATCCACTCGTTGGCAGTGCTCAGGAAGGCTTGTCCAGGTGAGGTACCAAGGGAAGTTTGGTCTCTACTACAGTCTCTTAGCCTCAAGGTTGCAGCTACACTGACTGCCTCACTTGGAGGAACCACGTGGACAGGGATAAAGTGCCAAGGTTGCAGAGGTCCTTGACCCAAAAGGGCTCAGGGAAGGAATGAACAGATGAGACATATGAAAGGACTCACTCACTCAGAAAGGGAATGACAAAACACATATCAAGAGGGCCAGAAGGTTGATGACCAACTGGCAAAATTTGATTTTTCTCAGCAAGTTTTATATAAAAGAGGAAGAGATTTAAACATCAAAAAACACTCTGACCTAGTTACAACCTTTTTATTTTTGCCACCTTGCATTCTTACTGCCAGTGTCCTTGACTAAGTATAAACTTTTTAGTGACGGGAAACCACTTAGCGTTCCTTCCCACTGTGATAGAGACATGGTGCACCTGCAGATTCCAACCTTGTTGGAATGCTGTTAAGCCACAGTGACCTTGTCAGACTGTGGCTTTTGGTTCCCAACAATAAAGGGCATCTATATAGTAAGCAGGGCAACCATACAACTTATGATTGATAAAACCTCCCTGGGAGTTCTGAATCACCCTGGGGTGATTCTTGGAGTGGGAGCCCCAAGAATGCCAAATAAGAATGGGGCTCAGAAGACTTAAAAAGTTGACTTGAAGATAATAAGTGGTTTTGATATTCTTTGCACATCTGAATTTATGAATTAAGATCCATATCAGCTCTGTAAAAAGGAAGCTACTGTTCACAAAAGTACTTAATGTACTCCAAACATCACATAAGCTACTTTATATCTCATTTTATCTTCAAAATACTCTACAGAATGAATGCCAATTATCTGAGCCTTTCAGATGAGCAGAGTTAAATTGAGAGAAATGAAGTAACTTATCCCAAGTTCACAAAGATAGTAAAAGTTTGCCTGTGCTGTTTACAATTACACTATTATCCAAATTTCTCAAACTGTGTTTTCACATTTTATTGACAGTTACCTTGAAATGCTATGCACTAACTCCAAACCACGTATTTGGTATGTGGTAATGTATTGCCTTATGGCAAAAAAATCTCACATAGCATTCTACATTTTCACATACATTATTTCATTACATTTCTAATACTATTTTATTACATGAAGTTTTTATGGTATGCATTTTTATGTGTGATTGTCTTTAGTATCTTCCACCAGCCCCTGGAATAATGTTACATCCTTAATTAACATTTTGATGCTAAAGAAAGATCAAAAAGAAAGAATAAGTAGATCTTTTGAGTATTTTTGCTGTTGTTAGGTTTTGATCCACCTAGAAAGTGACTGTTTGGAATGACACCAAATTACTTCCCAGCCATAACATTCAAAGATTGCTTTTTTCTCAAGTCTCATTCTCTGCATAGTCCCTGTTCCCTTTCTCCCACTCCTTTGAAATCCCCTTCTCTCTCAATTTCCTTATGGCCATGCTCTCTCAGTTGCAGAGAATCTTATGGCATCTTTTTTCTGGTAAGCTCTTCCTCTCTTGCCATTTAGAACTGGGTTTAGCAAACTTTTTCTACAAAGGGCCAGGTAGCAAATATTGCACCTTTCGGTGAAGTCTATGTCCCAACTACTCAACTCTGTCCTTGCAGTACAAAAGCAGCCACAGACAATGTGTTTGCAAATGGTCAAGACAATGTTGGAATAAAATTACATTTACAAAAATGGGCGAGGGGAGGAGCATTTAGTGCATGGGGGCCTCCCTAGAACCTTGGCCTTGCCTTCTTCCAAGCTTACTGCTTTGTACCTGCTCAGTGACTCTGTTATCCTGTGATGCCAAAGATCCCTTTTGCACAGAATGTTTCAAGTTGTTCATGTCTGACCCAGTCTTGCTCTTTCCTGCTCCTTTTTGTGTTCATATTTCTTCCAGGGCATTGCCATGCCCTGCTCATCTCCAGGTTGGTGCCTTAGCAATATTCATTCCTTCTCTGAATTGTTAGACATGATGAAATGAATATGTTCCTGCTGTCATCCTGCTCTTCATAATGAAACAAATGTTCATTTCTTCTGTCCTTTTTTCTCTGTTTCGAACACTATTAACATAGTTTAGGTTTTCTTTACCTCTTG